GTGTAGTGAGCTCGAAGATGCCAGTGGGCTCCTAGTAGGGGAACGGATGGAAGTAGAGTGAACGGGGGCCACGCTTTCGTGGGTGCGGGGTACTGAACTCCACCGTTATGGCCGTCGCCAGGAGGGGTTGTTGAAGTCCCACGCAGGTCTGTGGCACCACAGACGTTATCGGAGATACTATTATTAATTTTGGTTGTATACGGGATTAAGTAACCCTGTGTTACAGGTAGACCTGCGGGGAAGCAGCCTGGTCTTAAAACTGACCCCAACCCTCCCCCTGAAATTTAGCGCAATGCCATCTGTAATACGGGGGTAATTATTCTCGTGACCCGGAATTCAAACCGAGCGCTCGGCAAACTGCGGGGAAAGTACTAAAGACTTCTACACTCGCTACCTAATCTGATCAGACAGCTGTGTCGGTTAAGATCCATGACAACACTTGCAGTTAAAACAGTCGCGAATACTGCGGTACTTTCAGAAGGAGAAGATGCGATCAGGGGAACAGGAGGTTTATTGGCATGACGTTTAGGGTTCTCACTCGAACCCATCATCAGAGATAACCGCAGACTGATGATAGGCCCGAGTGAGAATCCGAGACGCCAGGCCAATAGACTTCTCGTTCCAGTGATTGAATCTTTTTCTTCTGAACTGCTTCCTGAAACTTATCCATTTGCTTTTAACGACTACAACACTTTTACAAACTTTTAAGTTGTAATTGACAATGGTTTAGTCAGAAGGATTTGTTGAAAATGTTAAGGATTCGGACGGCCGGCGACATTAAAGACACTGAAGTCGTTCTGCAAAACTTTCACCCACCCGTCCCATTTTCGTTTTAGGTCTGCCCTGATCGGGGCTCTTTTGCGGATCAACTTTCATTTGCTATATTTGGCTCACAGGACCATGCCGACAAGCAAATACACTCCGATTTCTCCCACTTTTTTTACGATTGTGCACGTCCCTACCCACTTAGATTCTTACCATATTGTGTCGCATTTGGTCCATTTTCAAATGATTTTGGTTCGTTGTCGTGCGATCCCCTTGAATACTAGTCTCACCCAACAATTGTAATTTGGGGACGCCCACGCATGTGCACCCTCAAATCCCTGCTCAGCATTTTTTAACCTGTCCCGTCCTCCCTCTTGGATGTCCTGCAACTGGTTGGTTTCAGGCCAAGACAATCCACCACGATTTATCTTCGCACGCTACAGGTACCCACTGAACTGGAGAATGTCCAGCCGTGGCTGTGCACATGAATGGGTGTTTTTTCAATTTGTCACACTCAAAATATCCCAGAGTGTACTACTGCTACCAAAATACATGCTCCTGTTTCCTCCAAGTGTCGGCTATTTTTCCAGTGGAGAGTTTGTTAAAGTTATGAGGACCCTGGTGCAGTAGCAAAAGACCGATTTGGAGAGTTCGGACTCAACTTCTCTGGTGAGCTGTAGGCCGGTTACATCCATATTTTAGGATGAGTTCGACATTGGATTCCTTCCTATAGACGCTCGTTGCGAGGCCGGTACCACTCACATCCACAAACGGCAGGCTGTCACCTACTACCTCTCTGCGGGTACGTTTTATAGCTGGAAGAACATCATTCGGCCACGGATGTAGTCATTCTGGACCAAACACGGTTAGTAACGCAAAGCAATGGAATCGCAAACGAAAAAAACTGTTTGTTTGGTACTTGGGTGCATTCTTGTTCAATGGCTACTCTCAGTTTAGCCGCTGTCACAGGTTTTGTAAAGTACTTTTCCTTTTAAAGTGAGGGCCTGGGGGGCGAGCAGAGGATTCTTTGAGGCCTTGTCATTGAATCCACTGGTTTGGTAATGTATCTCATCAAGGTAGGCTCATGCATCACTGTGGGGGTGTCCCATCTTGCTGGATACGTAATTCCAAGGACGTCTCTGACACCTAACAACTGTCGTAAAAAAGTTCAGCTAAATGCGACCAGTCACAGTAATAAGCGGACGAATTTTCCAGTCAACACACTTTTTGGAATGTCGAACCACAGAGTAAGCCGGCAAATATAGACGATGCCGCGTTACAAAATTCGGATTGGCGGATAAACAATGGGTGTAATTGCTGTGGCCCTAAAGCGGGTCACCCGGTAGATGCGCTGGTCTAATACGAAGGCTAGATCGAGGTCCGGCAGGCGTTATCGGGAATGAGCACCTATAAGAAATGCCAAAATTGGGGTGTGATGGTACGCACAGTTGCGACCCAGTTTGGACCCGTGCTGCTCCCTATTTTTGCTGTGGTCAGTGTCCGTTGTGGATTAGGGAGTAATGGCGCACCTAGGTGCGTGTTCACGCCGCCCCGATCACCTGCGTCCCCTCCCGCTTTCGGCCTTCTTGGCATCGGATCTACTTGGGTGGGGAGGTAGAGTGCGCTAGATGCTGCGCAAGCCTATTATCACTATATACGAATTTACGCACAAGTCACCGTATCTGCTCCAACCCTGCTGTGAAGCACGCAGTGAACATCGTCGGTCACGACAGTGGAATTATCGGGTGTAATTGTAATGGTTAAGTGCCTCACCACCTGGTATTCTCGGTCGTTGCATGCAAATTTGGTATTTAGCCATAAACGAGGGACCGCACACCGATCCACGGCTTCCCCGACTAAGGTACATAGCTGCGAATTAATGACAGAGGCCACGAACAGGCCGGCCGAACTCAGTCAAGCTTTGATAGCAGAGGGCTGGTGGACAGATGGAGAACACTTTCAGCCAATCTAGTCCATGAACTCTTTGGACATAGTCAACCTACGCACCTTTCGTCAATGAGGGGCTGTTGTAAATCGACCAGTTCTTATGTAATCCGAATCTCTCATGTCGTTTCTAGATTGGTTTTGAATTTCCGACCTGTTAACCATTTCCTTCCGGTTATATTTTCAGGATTATCGCAAACGCCGGGGTGTTAAACGTGACTATTGTTCTATTTTAGTTTTGAAAGGACTTAAAACGTTACATTACCCCACCGTTACAGCTCTGGACTCCATGTTGGATTCCCAACTGTACCAATGCACCTTTCGTTTTGGAGTTGTTCTAAATGTGGCTGACAAACGTTAATAAGCCTTCGCTGGACTTCGCAGATAGGAACGTTAGAGGAATACAAGTTTTAAAACGGCCGCATGGCCAGCTCTCGGTTAGTGACTGAGAAACTGAAATATTATAGCAGATACATCCAGACGCGTACAGTTATCCCTGTGTGAGAAAAACTTCCAATGTAAAATAACCGCGTCCTTTCTAGTGACGGTGGATCCCGCTAAGTTTCGGGTGTACTTGATATATTTATGATTATTTTTCGGCTTCCAGTGTTCTGAACCGGTTACACAAAAGACAACTTCCACGTTCTGCATTCATAAAAGCGTCTAAAGTAATAGAGTTATTGAAAACGTTCTCCTGTGCAGTGGGATCTTGCAGATGCGTTTTTCTTTAGTTAGTGGCGTGGGTCACAATTGTCGTCTCATCTAAGCACGGAGTGCAATCATCGAAAAGAAAATTGACATAGACAACGAAGGTCTGGCGTGAATACGCGCTTGATCAAGGGAAGTGTCTTCTCCCAAGGACTCTCTGTTCAAAAGTGCTTCGCTGGGAAATTCTGTCGTCCCTCTCCCGTCCCGTCTCCCCGTCCATTTTGAAGCTAACTAACTGTTGAAATAGAGATGGTGAGCAGAAAAATTCAACAGAACATTATTAATCAAAACGGCATTTAGGTTGTTACAAAGACAAACGCAAACAAACATACAACGAAAAACGGGCAAGAACAAACAAAAAAGCAAAGGCGACAAATAAATATTCAGCCTACCTGGGGGTCGCTTGCCTTGAGGTCTCCTGCGAGGCTGTAGGCTAATCCGCATCTTTGAGGCGGTGGTGGGTCCACCCGTCGGCACCCGGGATCACCTTTGTCACAAGCACGTCCCACTGGCCCCGCCTCCGGACGAGGACGAAGTCCAGCAGGTGCCAGTGTCGCGGACGAGGGTACATCCAGGTGGCCTTGGAGATGCCAGGGCGGTGATCCATCCGGCAGCGGTGGCAGGAGCGGAGCCGAGTTGCCGTGTGTGTAAATGCATACACGGACACCCACACCTGGTTTAGCCCATCGGCGAGGTGGTTGCCGGGGTGTGGCCGCTAGGCATAGCTTATCTTCGGGGAGCCACATGTAAAAGTTGGACGCTACTTAATTGACGCTAGGCGTAGTCTACGGCTGCAAGCGAGAGACCTATTACAACGATCACATGGATCCACAAACACAAACACACACACAGTGCTGCCCGCGAGGCCCTAGTTGTCCCGTCTGATGGCAGCCTGCTAAGCCACGACTTCTGGCTCGATAGTTTCAAAGCGCTTCAGATTTATTATAGTAGGGAATGTGTTGAAGTGTCGTAGGGATGAGTTCCCCAGAGTTAGCCTGACATTCCCTTTCCTCTCCCGTGCACTATTTGACCGTACGAGCCTGTCAGTCATCCGGTATTGGAATTGCGCTCGGTGAATTACAAAGTTACAACAACCCGTCTACATACGCCGCACACGGCCAAGCCAAGGACCATGCTTCCTGCTGACATGAGCAATACACCTTCTGTCCGTGTCATGTGTTGTGGTGCGGTTTCGTTTGTGGTTTATGGGGTGGTTGAGCAAGGGCTGTAGTGTTTTACCATAGGTTTTCATGAAAGCGCGCATGGGCGATAGTGGAATGACCTTGGGCCCTGCGAGTATGTGAAGCAAGTGCAACGGGCTTCTGACATTGGTGCGCCATTTCCAATGGAACGGATTCGCATGTGCTCGACCAGGCCGATACGTGACACAAATATGCTGTGGTAGCAAAAACAGTGTGGGATTGCGCCCAATGAGCTAGCGGTGGTGATGCTGTCAGTGGCCGCAAAATTGGTGCTGCTGGCAATATTGGTTGTATAAGAGTTGCAGGTGTAGGCAGGTTTGTCGTGATGACGTGGTGAATTCCACGGTGATGGATATCCATACGGTCAATTAGACCGATGCCATGTCTGAATGCTGCTACGGTAACAATAGCAACTACTACTATTGTTGTTGCTGCTGCTACCACTACTGCCACCACGACCAGTACTACTACTACTACTACTACTACTACTACCACTACCACTACCACTACCACTACCACTACTACTACTACTACTACTACTACTACTACTACTACTACTACTACTACTACTACTACTACTACTACCAAGACCACTACTGCTACAATGGTACCGCTGCTACTTCGTGCCGATACTGCCACCATTACTGATCAACTGTAGGTAGGGCCGGGGACAGCTCGCAAAGAAGCAGACGATCCGGCCGAAAAATTCAGGCCAACGCAAATTTACGCAACATCTAATGGCTGGACAGGCATACATACGAAATGCAAAACCACTGTCATGGCACAGAAGGTGCTTGCCTAGTTCAAGTCTAGATCCACTTGGCAGATCGAGCTCGCAGTAAATCTTTGATTCGGTTAATTTTAACTGCAGATACTAAATTATTTATCAACCAACTAAAGCGGTGTCTATTGGGTTTCTCAATTACGTATTAGCAGAAACCAGAGCGCATAACAGGTAACTCACCAAATGTTCACAGTTCTTAATGCCTGCCTGGTAGAAGACCGTTTCACGGCTACTTATGGACCAGTTGCACGTGACCGTACAATATAGGTTTTTGAGAACAGGAGATTGTTGGTGTTATCGCTGCTGTTTGGAGCAGATAATTATACCAAGTAACAAATTGACATTTTAGAAAAAGAACTTGTTTTTCGGAAAATGACGTGATTAATCGCAGCTTTCCCTACCGACTTTACACAGAACGAAAAATTAGGTGCCAAACTGGAGTCGGTAGTTAGTAAAACTTCCCAGCTTAAACTAAAAGACCCCTCCTAGAGAAGTACAAACAAATTTGCAGACGTGGCCTCGAGCAGTTGTCAACAGAAAAAACCTCCACAACATAATGCGACGTTGGCTCTTGAAGGGAATTGTAAATTTTTGTTGGTGACATACTCTGCGTGGGAAAAAAGCTTTTCACTGCTAAAACCACGCTAATAAGAAAAGCGCACAGCATTTTAGCACCAATCATCGGGATTTTGGTCGCCACATTTTATCAGGCTTGTTACCTAAGCCGGTTCACGTTGACTAGCCACTGGAATAGACGCCAGCTCTATTAACGACTCTCTTTTACCTAGCCCATTGCCCCTATGCTATGGTACTTGTGTGGTAATTATGACATTCGAATTCACATTCAATCGGGTACAGGCTGTAAGTTCAGCCTATGAAAACAAGAACTCTGGTCCTGATGACCTATTCGTCATGCAGCAAAGGTGAAAACACATGCTCAGTGATCTGAGACTTAAAATCGTGGAAAGGCGTAATTGATGCGACGTCATTGTTCTCTAGTTACGCCCACGCTGTCTGTGAAGTATAAAGGTTCATGGTTGTGTCTGATCATGGTCGTTAAGGTGTGCGCATCCTATATTTGGTACGAACTAATGTTCTCAAGGAACACCGCCTTCAGAGTTAAGTAATGCTGTTTGCCAAGAAAGAGAAAATCACGTCGACATTTCGCCAAACGATCAAGTGTGACAGGGCAAATCTCCATAGTTGATGACTTCAGGCGCGATCGAGAAATACATAGGAAAATATGGCTGCCAATTTTGCAAAGCCTGGAGGAGAAGCCCATAGAGAGCTGACCCTAATTAAGTAGATACTTTTACAGAATAAACAATCCCAACAGAACGAACATTCTATAGTGCTGTCGTTGTGCGCAATCAAGTGGCCGATGTTAATGACGGAAGGAAAATGGCGACCAGTGGGAGCGGTCGACGGGCCGTTTGCCTGGCGGAGAGTGAGCCAAGACGGAGACCTAGGACTACTGATTCAGGGACAAGACCGTTCTAGCAGTTGCTGGTTCGCATGGTCGCAAGGATAACACTGTGAGAAGTCGATACACACAACCAGATCGGTGCAAACGGCCAGGACGATGGACACTCGCCGCAGAGTGACCTTGAGACTTGAGAGAGCCAAATATCCAGTATCTTTTCCCCTCGACGAGATACGAGGACGCTCATTTTGAACAGCATCAAAAACACTGAAGAGGGGAAACCGTTTTCCTGTCAGTTTTATTGGGGGATCGGAATTCCTTTAAAAACCACAAGAATAAAAAAAGAGAGGCAACACCCCTCGGGGAATCGGGCTTATATGCATTTACTCCTCAAACGTACTATGGAAGGACCAGTACCTGGGAGTAGCGGCGGAGACGAGCGGGGCTAGCGACGTGAGGTCAAGTCCCACAGAGTGGAAAGCTCAATTTCGACGTGATTACCGTAATCAGAGACCGTACTGAGCCTTAACACAACGCAATTCCGCGAAATCGGCCCACTTACTTCCCAATCCAGAGCTAGGCCTGACCGTAGATACTTTCGATCTGGATGACCCTTCCCAGCATCTAATGATTTTTGGCCAGTTCTGGTACGAGCATAGAAAATCCCTAACTACGAAGACGCATCTAGGGGTCGAAATTCGATGAGTTCTGAAAATCGCCCTTGGTTTGCCAGGGAGAATTTACTCCGATTCGCGCGTTAATTTCTGAGGAAATTAAAAAAACCAGTACTGCCTCTTTCATCTACTTTCCTTCGCCTCCAAAGTACGTTGACAAAAAAATTGCAGGAGTCTTTGCTAACTCCATTCGAGAGAGAATGATAGTCACCGAAACAGTACCGGCCGATTCCCACGCCAGTACCATCCCCGTGTGAAATAAAGGCAGAAAATCTTGGTGGGGCCGCAAAAGGCCTGAAATTTAAGATGCCCTACGCACGCGTCCACAGCACAGTCTGCAAGAAAACGAAATGCTCACTCAAAATCTGTACAGTGTTCTGGTGAATGTAAAAAGCACAGAGGTAAGTTAAAAAATAATATAAAAGGGACATTTAGGTTTCCTGAGAGCTGTCAGGCAGCCACTGAAAACAAAATAAGCGGTGAAAATTCACAGTCAGGACGGCACGACGGCGGAATCGGACGAGCAAATGATGGTGGGAGAGAGAGCAAAAGCAGCCAGATGCCAGCGCAGGAATATCACAGGTTAAGAGTACCCAAACGCATCACCTTGCCGAGACCGTGGTAAGAGCGTGAGGCGATGATCGCAGAGATTACAAGGGCAAACAGGTCTGCGGCTATGAGCATGAAGAAGACAGTAGGCCAGCCATAGGGCACCAGGGCTCCAGTCAAGAAGGGACCCAATGCCGCACCTACAAGGGAGGTGTGAACAAATTATGAAACACCAGTAGATACTGGAGTGAAAAGGAGAATCAAGAGATTTTACGGGCGCGTGGACAGTCGGCAGAGCATGATCTCTTCCTGCAATAGGGGAATACCGACTGATCAGCCTACTTAAATAAGGAAGGGGGGACATAACCACCGGCTAGGTCTACCATCTTGAATATAGTAAATTTGATTGGGTTTTACTTAGCCGACTACGATCAATAACAGAAAATAGTCACCAAGTACCCACAAAAAACTTGGCAACTGAACTGATTCCAACAGTATTATGGCTCAGTTTCATAACGATCAGGTTGGACTACCAATCGTGGCGGTGCATGAGAAGGGTGTCTCTTTTATATGGCATGGAGACAATCCGTGGACTGATGCTCACAGAGGAGGCGGGGTTTCTACAGACTCGAACAGTGAAAAGTTAATTGCAATGCGTGGGTGTTGAGAAGACTTAAAACTTACTATAAACGTTAGTTTCCTACTAGGTAATTCACATCGAAATCAAGATAACTTTTAAATGTCCGAACTAACGCCAGCGGAAAAACTCTGGTAAATGTTAAAAAGCATCAAAAATGATACGCCAATGCCATCAGACCTGTCGGTGATAAATTAGGTAAGCAATTTGTTGTTACAGCGCACGGTACCTTCTGCAGTACGGAAGTCCTATCGAAAATACTCCCGATGAGGGAAAATCACAGAATTTCGAGTTGAAAGGATAAATATGGACACCTAGACAGGTTTCAATGGTCCGTCGCATACGACGGGAACTACCGCCGTCCGGGGGAGGGGGACGCAGCGGTGACTCGCGCGTGATTGGGTTGTGGCAAAGAAGTTGCGCCGCGTGCATCGCGTTCAGTCTTCAAAATGTCGTTGGCAAAGACTGCTTCTCACCAACTGCGTAAAATAGGCTCCCACTGATGTCTCCATGCATCCCCTACTAATCTGGAGTAGGCCTTATGACTGTGGTGGCAAACTAAGTACCTTATATATTACAATAAGTTTCACACTCATTCAGGAATAGGAGGACATACTCACATACTTCTGCAAACTAGGCAGATTCACGCACACTATTGCAGCAAACCGTTGTGGTGTTCACTGCGGAGTGGACTACGAATGAAAGGTCGCGTATCGTTGCCGTGGATACTTTCGTTGTGGTGTGCATAAGTCGGACCCTGTGCGGTAGTTGATTTCAATTCCAGGCTGCCAGCCAAAGTAGGCATCTATCAGCATGGCGGAGGACATGGGTCTGAAGGGGGCAAGCGCGGGTACGCAGTCCTACTTCACCCTCTCCACCATCGACAAGGCCCCTGAAGCTGATCCCTTGGCCGTAACGGATGCCACCATGCCTCTGTTGAGTTATCTAATCATCTAAGTGATGGGGGGGGGGGGAGATCAACATCAGTATTTGCCGCCGCCCCGGGTAGCCCGTTGACGACTTTCTAGTAAATAGGCAGCAGAGAACGCTACTGAAGTGGTCGGCTAAGCGCTCTAGGATTGGTGAATTCTGCGACAGCAAGGTTAGCCGTCTGAAGTGCGATGGATTTAGGACCACAGAATGCATTAGAAGTCGCGAGGACGCTTTTTTGCGTCATCACGGTTTTCGTAATTTTGAATTTCTTCGGACGGTCACTTCGCATTTTCCACAGCCTATGCAATATTTGGCTTCAGCATCGATAGGTATACGCTTAGTTTTCGATGATCCTGTTGTTTACATAGATTCTGTGTGTGATCTTGCTCCGAAAGAAGGCAGATTTCCTCGTCCTTCTCATGTAAACGGTCTTCATGCTGTCGACTCGTGTGACCAGTGACAGTGGCATGGATAGCGTCGCGTAGTTTCTCCCCGTTGGCCTTAACATCGTCCTCCTCTTGGATTCGGCCCAATTTAGCTGCCAGCATCGCCAGATTTGATATTCCAGTAGTTAACACGTTCGATGCTTTTCCACCATGA